TATACCTCTCTATTGTAGTTTTTATCTTAGTTTGCATAATGATCTGATTAATCCTATTTTAACATCTTTTCCTGGGCATTCAGATCTATTTTATGTTCAATACACAACTCTGTGATCAAATTCCTTAAGCGATTTTAGCAGTGGCAAAGTTTCTAATGGGTGCTCCTGGTGCAAGGAAGCAATTCGATTTTAATTTATACAGGGATAGTAAGGGTTATGATTAAGAACATTATATCATCTTGGATATTTAAAAATAATCTTGTTATTTTGTTATGGTCTGTAGACTGTTTCAAGGAACTGACTGACTGCAGGGGGAAGCTGGGGAAGAAGAGAAGTTTTCTCTCCACGTTGGGGGAAAACCCTCTCTGTAAAAAGCCAGCCTGTGAAAGAGAAGGAGAGACTTAGCAGAGCTTTCATTCTGGTGCTTATTGTGTGAATGTGAGAGAGCATTCCCAAACATTTTCTGCCTGCTACTCCTACAGGTTGTAATGATGCAGTCCAGAAAGCCACTTCCTTCTGGGTAATGAATCCAACAGGTCTCTAATGTGGGAGTAAAGAATGCCTTCCATTGCACTAATACGGCGTGTTTCTGCCATCTGTCATCTTATTTATTTGTTGCACTTAATTATATCCCATCATTTCTTTGGGAGGTCAAAGTAACATACGTAATGCCCAGAGTCATTATCAGTAGGGCAGCCTATAAATTTGAATTATAAATAAATAACCAGTTAAATGCTTATCTCCTTCCTGTGTTATCCTTTCAACAACCCTATAAGAGGTTAAGCTGAGAGAGATGAGTAGGAAAAAATAGTCTTATGTTTCTGGACAGAAGTCTTGCTCTACTTCCTTTAGGTTTCTCACAAAGCACACCTGCCAAATTTAACTTTGCAAATGCAAGGGCTAGAGGCTTGCTTTAAAAAGAAAACTGAATGTCACAACGTGCTCCAATTATCAAATTCTATGTTTGCATAGTTGGATTTTGTTTCAGATCTGCCATGGCGGTGTCCCCTGTTGTTGATCTCTGCATTCAGTCGTTCGGCACCTTTTCTCTACAGGAATCCAAAGCGAGGGGGAAGAGGAAGAGGAGGAGGAAGACACTTCTTTTCACCGGCGGTTGATGAGTTTGGTGGAGAAGGTGGTGAGCTTCCGCAAGAAGAAAGAAGAACAGGACGATGAGCAGGCCCCAGAAGAGGAACCAAAGCCCAGTAGGTGGAGGGGAGAGAGTGATATAGCCAACCCCTAAAACAGTTTTGAGAGAACCCATGGCCTTCCAGACATTGTGGGATCCAGTTCCCATCAGCCTTAGCCAACACTGCCAATGGTCTAACCTGATGAGCATTAACCATTAAGGAGGCAGATTGGTGAAGACTGCCATAGTTCATCCTGTTCTCCCCACTCCATAGGCACGTTGCAAGAGCTGATCTCACACACGATGGTCCACTGGGCGCAAGAGTCTTTCATCCAGAACCCAGAGCTAGTTCGGTTGATGTTCAGCCTTCTCCATCGGCAATATGATGGCCTTGGTGAGCTAATCCGTGCCCTGCCCAAGGCCTATACCATCAATGCCAACTCAGTGGAGGATACCATGAGTCTTCTGGAGTGCCTGGGGCAGATCCGCTCGCTGCTCATTGTTCAGATGGGACCCGAGGAAGAGAACCTGATGATACAGAGTATTGGGTATGTGCTTTCATCTGTAGCTTTTAGGCCCTTCTTGAACTCTAGTTGCCTCCTTCATTCCACTGTGAAGCTGCTTCATAGGCTCCATCTCAGACTGGAGCTTTTCCTTCCTGAGTTCCTTATGTCACATTTCCTTCATACGGATCTATTATTGGTTCCTCTAGCTCAGAACTGTCTACTTTGTCTTGCCACATTTCTCCAAAGTCTTAGGTGATATTGTTTTCCTGCCTCCTGAAGTCCCTTCTAGCTTGAGATACTACGAATTAAACTGTGACTCACCCCAGTAATTTGGGAGCTTCATTTGCAGGAAGAGCGTGCATCTCTCTCAGGTGCTGAACCCTGTTTAGCACTAACAGTATAGCAGTTGCAGAGTGCGGATTCAGACTTTTTCTCCTGTCCATCAAGCTCTTTCCCTGCTCTTCTCCTGAAGTCAACCCCCTCTGCTTGACTTAAAATTATCTCCATACTTCCTGAATTGTGCTTGGATTTCTTTTAAACCACTGCCACTTCCTACCCAACACACTTAAACCTCAACCTTCTGCAACTGATCTTCTCCAAATACATTAAACTGCAAGCCCTAAAATTCCCAGCCAAAGTTCTAGTACCTCTGGAGGGGATTCAGCTGTAGTAAAATAATGTAGTAATGGTAGCCCTTCTCTAAGACCCACCTTTACATCCTTCCCCTGCTAATTCTCATTTTCCTCCCACTTGCAAGTTCCCTGCACCTGTTGCATTTAGGGTCTCAGTCCTTCCTTGTTTCCATCCCTTCTTCTCAGCCTCCATTTGCTCTGAAGGCCAACTGTTGCATCTCTGTGTTTCTCTTTGCTAGCAATATTATGAACAACAAAGTTTTCTACCAGCATCCCAACCTGATGAGAGCCCTGGGAATGCATGAGACTGTCATGGAGGTGATGGTGAACGTCCTGGGAGGAGGGGACTCAAAGGTATGGAAGCTTGTCTTTCAGGCCAGCCGATGCCCTGGTCCCTCATAGGATCTCCACTCCACTCTCCGAAGACTGAGGCATGGTCTGCAAGTCTGGGCCACATTTTTCAACATTCCCCTATTAAAAAAAATTAAGTGAAAAAGCATGTCCTATACCTCAAAGAGAACATTTCTGGCGTAGTGTTCTCCTTGCTGTGTACGTTTTATGTGCAATGAGGTTTTTTTTTTTTTTTAATTAAGGAAATGTTTGAAAAATCAGTTTCCAATATCTGCAGAAACATTAGCCCATTTGGGGAGGAAAACTTTGGGCCTCAGGATTTGACTAAGATGTAGAGTGCTTGGACACTTCGTATGCCTAACTCTACTTTTCTAGATGGCCTGGAAGTAGCTCAACCATTTTGGGAGACTACTCTCCCTCACCTTCTCCACACATTAAGAACACACTTCCCTTTTGCACTTATTTTAATAATGAGTGGCCCTTGGACTATATATAGTTGGGAAATCAGATTTCTGGGTGGTCAGTTTGTTTGGTGCTGACTTTAAGAGTTCCTGATTTAGGACCTTTTGATTACATTGCAATATTGTGGGGTTTTTTTTACTAATTGTGGGATGCCTAGGACTACATTAGGATCAAATGGCAGAACACCACAATATCCCCATCATCTACTAAGTGAGATAGAACTTATACAGAGAGAAGCAACCTGAAATGCTTTGGACCACAACTCCCACAATTCCTCGCTCTTGGTTAGGGCTGATGGGAATTGTTCTAAAGTATCTGAAGGAGAATGCCAGGTTGTCTACCCTTTCCTTAAAACCTTTATAAGTGCTATGATTTTGAGCTAGAATAATGGAAAATGGCTTGATGGCGCAGGTGCTCCTCCAAGACATCAAGGAAGGTCACTCTCACCCCTAACAGGAGATCCGCTTCCCCAAAATGGTGACCAATTGTTGCCGCTTCTTGTGCTACTTCTGCCGTATTAGTCGCCAGAACCAACGTTCCATGTTTGACCATCTCACCTACCTGCTGCAGAACAGCGGGATCGGGCTGGGTGAGTTGCTGTGCCTGGGACGCAGTGGAGTGCACGATCAGCTCCGCAGAGATGATCTATATCCAATTAAGGGTGACTCTTATTAGAGAGCAAAAAGCTGGCGTGTTAGCACTGAACCTGTCTGAGCCTCTGGTGTAAACCCAAAATTTCCCCCACGCGTTGAAACATTTTATTTGGGTTTTGAAATTAGTCTGCAGTTTGCTGCTGCCTCTAGTGGAGGGTGGTGTCGTGATCTTAATGCCCTTTTCTCAGGTGGCATCCCCAGATTGCTCCAGCCTCTGGGGCACTGCTAAATTCACCGATGAACTGTCCTTTCCCCACATCACTTTTTCCTTCCTTCCTTCCTTCCTTCCTTCCTTCCCTCCCTCCCTCCCTCCCTCCCTCCCTCTCCTCCAGGCATGCGAGGATCCACTCCCCTAGATGTGGCTGCTGCTTCTGTCATTGATAACAACGAGCTGGCCCTGGCGCTGCAGGAGCAAGATCTGGAAAAGGTAGCATGCTCAGCGAGAGAGTCTCAAAATGCAGGGGTGGGGGCGGTGGCAAAGAGTCTCATCTTAGGAGGCCTTGAGGTTCCCTGCCCTGTGCAGGATGCCCAGTGGAAGCACCCCAGGCCAATGGCTACCCAGCCTTTGCTTGAACTCACCCAGCAAAGGGGACCACATGCCTTCTCTGGGTCATTGGTTCCACGGTCCAACTGCCTTTACTGTTAGAAACTTTTTTCTAATATTCAACCAGCGTTTGTGATCATATATTCTCAAAGCTAAACAAGCTAGTTCCTTCATTCTCTCCTTGGAAGGCTTTATTTGCAGTCTTCTCTCTCCTTTTATTATCTTTCTTTGCACTGACCACCAGCATTTTGACACATGTGATGAAACCGGAGGAACATCCTGTTCAAACTTGTCATTCTTGCTCCTCTTTTCTCTCCAAAGTCTAGCTGCTGATGATCCTTTTTCCATTTCCTTTAACTATTCCATGCTGCTCCAACCCATTTTGTTGGTAATACAGTGGTGCCTGGGCAGTCCTTTCATCCAATTAAGCAAAGAGAAAAAAAACTTACTTTGTAGATGCCCACCAACCATATCCATTAGCCTATTAGTGTGTTAACAATGCCAGAGTCAGAAGACATCCTTCATACCTTCATTCCATTCATCTTGGGCAATCTCTTATTATGGTCAGGGTATGTTGTGGACAGGCTCTTCCCTTATGTTAAGGCAATGATTATGAACTCTTCCATCAGTTCTGCTTGCTTTGATGGATTTGCAGGGATAGGAACTCCCTGGAGCTCGGTTGAGAACTTGAGAACTTTTCTCCTTGCCTCCATAGGTGGTGACCTACCTTGCTGGCACTGGCCTCCAGAGCTGCCCTATGTTGCTGTCCAAGGGATATCCTGACATTGGTTGGAACCCCTGTGGAGGCGAGCGATACCTGGATTTCCTGCGCTTCACTGTCTTTGTCAATGGTGAGTTTGATGGCCAATGTGAGCTCACACAGCGAGTGAAGCGGTGAATGTCTTTGAGCCATAAGAGTGTTAGAATCGCTAAAGAAGGGTTCAGGAAACCAGATTCTGCAACTGGAAGGAGTACCCAGAAGCCAAGTGGTAGTACATTAGCACCTCCGTGCTGCTTTTCTAGTTTCCTGGGGTAACCAGTTACTCCTGTTGGTCTCCCTGACATCCTTCTCCTTCCATAGGTGAGAGTGTGGAGGAGAACGCCAATGTGGTTGTGCGTCTGTTGATCCGTCGCCCTGAGTGCTTTGGCCCGGCCCTGCGTGGGGAAGGAGGCAATGGGCTGCTGGCAGCCATAGAAGAGGCCATCCAGATCTCTCAGGATCCTGCCCGGGATGGGCCTACCATCAAGAAAGATCGCCGTCGGGAATTGTGTGTGAATGGACAGTGTGGGCGTGCTACATGGTGGCAGGAGGGGGAACCTGTTGCATAATTTGGAAGGATTTGTATTGTTTGACCAGCCTCCAAATAGTTTGGAGGCCTAAAACTGTCTCCTTGCTTTTCTTTTCTCTCCAGCTCTTTCTGGCCTGATAAGTTTTAGAAAATTGAGAACTTCTAAAAGATCTTTCACTTTTACAGTGTTGTGAATATACCTTAATGAGCTCTTGGCCATTCTGCACTTTGCACTAGAGTGGCTGGGAGTATTTTTCTGAGCCCTCTAGTTGCAGTTCCATTTTTTTTACACCTGCTTTTCTTAGCCATGTTCTTACGTCCTGTGGTCACCTTGTCCTTTAGTTTAGAGATGGGGGTAGCTAATGCTCCTGTCCCCCACCCCTCTCTTTTTCTCTCTCTTACTCCCAGATTTGGAGGAGAAGAAACTCATGAAGAGTACCGGGTCCATTTGGGCAACGCAATCATGTCCTTTTATGCTGCCCTCATTGATTTGCTGGGACGCTGTGCCCCTGAGATGCACGTAAGTCTCCTCTGTTCTCTTCACTGTCCTGGCTATCAGGGATAGAAGGATGTCAGCTCCTCCAAATAAAGCATTTGCAGGATTTGGCCATGTGGAACATCTCACCTTCCACTGATCCCATCTCTTTGCAAAACAGTCTTCAGCTCTCTCTCTCCCTCTAGCTTTCTTTTACACCCAAGCTGGCCCTTGCTCAGGTTACCTAGTAGAGGCTCACATTGTTCCCCCTGGCTTTCTCTCTGAGCAGCTCATCCAGGCTGGGAAGGGGGAAGCCCTCCGGATCAGAGCAATCTTGCGTTCCTTAGTGCCCATTGAAGACCTCGTCGGAGTCATCAGCCTCCCACTGCAGATCCCTTCATTCGGCAAAGGTATGGTGGTGTAATGGTATGTGGGAATGACCTTGGGAGATGGGCCCCGATGCTACCTAGGGAATGGCCAGATAAGAGACAGCATAGTCCGCAGCTGGATAGTGGGCGGGGCAAGAGGCTTAAAAGAGACCATCCCTACTTTTGGGGGGATAAAGGAGATGGGGGTAGAACTGTGCTTTCAGACTTGCAAGATTCTGTTAATGTAACATTACAATAAGGCAGAATTAGCTGATCTGGTCGTGTTTCCTGTCTGGTCTACCTGGTAAGACTGACAAATGGCCCTTCTGATATCCGTACTAGGTCCTGCTTCCTACTCCTAAATTCAGGTTCTTCTTGGTATCTACATCTACTGCCCATTTGACATCCATTCCCTGGAAAGCCTGCCGTTCTCCCCCCTGCCATAACTGCTGCCCCCGTTCCGTCTCCTCAGAATTATAATCTGCCCCTTTCCACTCTAGATGGCAATGTCATTGAGCCCAAGATGTCCGCCAGCTTTGTGCCTGACCACAAGGCACCCATGGTGTTGTTTTTGGACCGTGTGTATGGCATTGAGAACCAGGACTTCCTTCTCCATGTGCTAGAAGTGGGCTTTCTGCCTGACATGAGAGCTGCAGCCTCCTTGGACACAGTAAGTAGCTCCAGGACAGGATGGTAACATCAAAACATTCAAGCTATCATATAGGATCAGGTTATTGGTGGAACCACTCGCTCCAGTTGTTTTTCCCCACCCCACTGCTGCAGCACAGAGGTCCTTTCTTGAAAAAATATCAGGTGATGGGACCTGGGAGAAATTCCTTTTCTGTTGTGGTGCCTGCTCTGTGAAACTGTCCCCCATCCCAACATCAACCCTAGTTTGATAAGGTAGGGAAACTGAACGCTGCATAGGATTTTTATCTGAATTTGTAATGCTTTTCTTTTGGGGAGTTGTCTTAACTTTGGGGTGTTTTCCTTTGGGATAAGTGCAGGGTTTGGTAAAAAAAAAACCTGTAGGATTTCCCCAGGCCCATCTTTTGACTGAGTTTGAGAGGGATTCCAATGACTGTCTGCCGAGAGAATGTAAAGCTGTGTTTAAAGATCTCCAACTTTGTGCGTGGCTCTGAAGAAATGGATTAGGCCATGACGTGCCTTGACCATTCCTTGGCACCTTCTCTCTCTCAGCCAAAAGTCTCTCATTGCTTCTCCCTCCACAGGCTGCCTTTAGCACCACAGAGATGGCCCTCGCCATGAACCGCTACCTCTGCCTGGCTGTGCTGCCACTCATCACCAAATGCGCCCCTCTCTTTGCTGGCACGGAGCACCGGGCTATCATGGTGGATTCCATGCTGCACACCATCTACCGGCTGTCCCGTGGGCGCTCCCTTACCAAGGCCCAGCGCGATGTCATTGAAGAGTGCCTCATGGCGCTGTGCAAGTAAGGAGAAGAATCATGACCTTGGGGATCAGCTCTGGCATTCCTGAACTATGGCAGCTCCTTCTGAGAAGCTTGGCCCTTGAACCCGTGCAGTTGTGAGGGGCATCAGAACTCACAGTGATCATTTCTACAGGTTTCCCTCGCTCTTTCTCCTTAAGTTCCTTCCAGATGGAGGCCTCTAAAACTCTCTTACTTAAAAGACACTAGAAAGCTATTCTGTTTTTCCGTCCTTAATGGATAATGATTTTTTTTTTAAAAAGGTGGAAGTCTTAAAGGGAAACACAGGCAGTGATGGAAAACAACATAATCTGGTCACCACATGAAATTCTGCCATTTAGACGTGCTGTAGCATCATCTGGAGGCAACTGAATCGCCAACCAAAAGGAGAAACTGGGTGGACAGGTCATTCTTCTGTATAATGCCTTTTTGATTCTGCTTGCTCACTGTCCTGCTTTCTGTCCTTCAAGGTATATCCGGCCCTCCATGCTCCAGCATCTTCTCCGCCGGCTGGTATTTGATGTGCCCATCCTCAATGAATTTGCCAAAATGCCTCTCAAGGTAAGAAATTCATTTAGCCATTTAACCACATCAGGTAAAGGATTAGCAAATGCATTCCCACACATGCCGACCAGCAGTGCTTGGCTACTGTTGACTTAGATTTTTTTTGAAAGGGGTGGGGAATGCGTGTTACCACATGAAACGTGACAGTCTGTCTGCTGTAGCCTTCCCCAGCTTGCAAATTTCTCTCTGATTGTGACCATAAATGGCCTTCCTGCTTACTACATGTGCTTTTTCCTGTTCTTTGTCCAGCTGCTGACTAATCATTATGAGCGTTGCTGGAAGTATTATTGCCTTCCCACTGGTTGGGCCAACTATGGGGTCACTTCGGAGGAGGAACTTCATCTGACACGGAAACTCTTCTGGGGCATCTTTGAGTCATTGTCCCATAAGGTGAACAGTATGCTTATCCTTGGCCTCAGGTAGGGCTTTTGAAATCATCCAGAAACAGGGCAGGGTTTTCAGTCTTCTGGAAGCTACACCTCCCTTTCTAGAATGTTAACACTTGGAACAATCTATGGGAGGCTGAGTAGGAACTGAGAAAGCTATGAGCTCTAGCCAAATCTTCTGCTTCCTATACTTGAAAGCAGAGAAATTGGTTTGAACCCCCTTGGTACGGAGGGTCCCTGCTGGGCTTCTAGAAGATAGTATTCCCCTCGTAACATGGGAACCCCAGCTATGTAGAGTGGTGTTTCTCAGCCTTGGCAAATTGAAGATGAGTGGACTTCAATTCCCAGGATTCCCCAGCCAGCCATCTTCAAGTTGCCAAGGTTGAGAAACACTGCTCTAGAGAGACAATTAAGACAATTATAAATGCAGGGGAAGAAGTCTGAAGTTTTCTTCCTTCTGGCAACTTCCTTCCTCTGCATTATTGGATGGCAATTCCAGAGGCTGAGTGCCATCAAACTCTCAGCACTTAATGTTGAGCTCCAGGCGTCAGATAGGAAATATTACTGGAAGTAACAGTTGAGTTCTGAAAAAAAAAAAAAAGCAGAAATATTCTTAGTGGGAGGACTTAAATGGAGCAGTGTTGCCTCACTGTGTGTTTTCCATCTTTTCTCCCCCCTCCTGATGCTCAGAAATTTGACCCCGATCTGTACAAGCTGGCCATGCCCTGCCTGTGTGCCATTGCTGGCGCCATTCCCCCTGACTACGTGGACGCTAGCTACTCTTCCAAAACTGAGAAGAAGGCTTCTGTAGATGCTGAGGGCAACTTTGATCCCAAGCCTGTGGAAACACTGAAGTGAGTGAGATTTGCCAAGGAAAACAATCCTGAAGCTTGCTGTTAAAATTCCTTGACTGGCCAGGTTTTACATCAAGACACTTAGAATGTCATTCTCATCCCTCTGGCCTGTAAAGCAGTAAGAAGTAGTTTCTCATACAGAATGTAGGATTGGAAGGGATGTTCCCCCTGTGCAATGCAGGCAGCCGCTTCTAGAGGTGACCATCCAGCCCATTTAACCTCTCCCCTCCACACCAGAGAAAAATCCACCACCTCCTTCAGACAGCATCTCCCATTGTTGACCAGCTCTTACCTTTAAGACCTTTTTCCTGCTGTCTAACTGAAATCTCCTTCCTTGTAATTTAAACCCTTCTTCTGGAGTTCTTCTGGAACAACTCTCTAACATGCCAGCCCTTCAGAGAGCCATCATGTCCCATCCAGAACCCTCATCGTCTTAGCTGGATATGCTCCAGTTTATCAACACTCTTCCTAAATGTGGTGCCCAAAACTGGATACAGTCTTCTAAGTACTGCTTGACCAAGAAGGGGATAGACAATAGATTTGGGGGATTATAATCAGAAAGCTAAATATGTATCTGCATATTAGTGGAAAAATGCATCTGCTTTTTAATCTCACCTAGTTCCTGCTCTCTTTTAGGTATTCTGTCATTGCCCCCAGCTTTAATCTTCTGTTATTCAGGTCCCCAGATTTGCTTCTTCCTGAGCATATCAAAATAGCAACCTTTTGATTGCTGGAGTCTCTATGGATATGACCTGGAAAGTCACCAGTGTTTAGCATCCTGCTCCGTCCAACTTCCCTCTCTTGCAGCGACCGAGCAGGATCAGAACCTTTCCATTAGTTGGCCAGCCTTCCAATGCCCTTTCTCTTTCTCCCTTTCTTAGTGTCATCATTCCTGAGAAGCTGGACTCTTTCATCAACAAGTATGCTGAGTACACTCATGAGAAGTGGGCTTTTGACAAGGTAAGAGGGCTCCATGTGACCTCTCTGGACCCCTGAGACCTGGTCTAGTGGGTCACTGGCCTCCTCAGCAGGTACTTCCTGCTTCCTGGTTGGGCATGGAAGAGCAGATCTTATGTCTCACAGTCTCCTTTTTCCACAGATCCAAAATAACTGGTCCTTTGGGGAGGCAGTTGATGAGCAGGCCAAGACAAATCCTATGTTGCGTCCTTATAAAACATTTTCTGAAAAGGTAGAGTCCCTCACCCCGTTCCTCCCCCTATTAGTGGACACAAAGATTGCATGATTCCCCAAGTCCAAGCAAGAGTTGAAGGCAAATGTGGCATTTGTAGATCTTCCGAAGAAAATCAGAAACCCTGAATTAAAAAAATAACAACGGGGTGGTTTTAAAATCAGATATTGATGCTGCCTATCAAATTAAACTATTGATCAAACTGTTTTAAGTTGTAATGCTTAATATTCACCTACCAGTGAAATCCTTACATCATTTTCTCCCTAACGGTCAAGTAAGTTGGCAGATGAAAAACCCTACAGCTGTTTCAGTGTTGGAATTAGAAATATTTCCCATCCAGTTCTGGTCCATCCAAATGGGCAATTGGTGTATCATCTCTGGAATGCCAAGCTGGATTAGGACCATTTTGCATCCCAATAGGATGTCTGTTTCTCAGGATGGACATCCGTCACCTTCGTCCTTCTTGTGTCCCTTCTCTGCTCACCACACTGCCTCTTGTTTTCCTCCTGTAGGATAAGGAAATTTACCGATGGCCAATCAAAGAATCTCTGAAGGCCATGATTGCTTGGGAGTGGATGATTGAAAAAGCCCGTGAGGGCGACGAGGAGAAAACTGAAAAGAAAAAAACACGCAAGATCTCACAGTCAGCTCAGGTTGGTCCCTGGAAAATTCTTGCCATCCATTTTTCCAATCTAAGTGTCTTCCTACTTTAGCTACTACCTCCAGTTCTGGGTGATTCCAAGTATATAATTACCCTAGATTAGTGGTATGCTGGCTGGGGAATTCTGGGAATAGAAGTCCACTCATCTTCAAGTTGCCAAGTTTGAGAAACACTGCCCTAGATGGTGGTGGTGGTGGTGGTTCCTTGTGAAACTGTAAAAGCTTGTTAGGAGAAGAGTTGTACGTGGAATACAAACCACCAACAGAATTTTGCTTCAGGCTTTTCTGCATAAAGCCCAGTTCACTCTTAAGATGCTAAAGTCAAGGTTATCCTGGAAAGCAGCACCACAACTGTAGAAAGAGCATCCTTAGAACCTGAACCAAGATTTTGTGGCTGCATGTTTATTTCGCTCGGGGAAGGAATGGCAGACCAGGGCATTAAAAGCCTTGATACGCCCATGTAACACCTCTGATCTGAGAGCTGCACTGGTTACCAGTAGGATTCTGAGTGCAATTGAAAGTGCTGGTTATGACCCTCAAAACCCTTCATGGCATTGGGTTGGGCGTGGTTGCAGGACCACCTGTCTTCCGTAGTTTCTGCCCGTCCTATATGATCTGGGGAGTTGGCATGCTGAAGGTCCCATTGATCAAGCAGTGCCACCTGATGGGACCCAGAGGTGTGTCTTCTTTGTCAGAGCACCTGCTGCCTGGAATGACGTCCCCTCCGAGGTTCATATGGCCTCCATCCTGACCGTATTTAGATGAGCCCTTAAGATCTGTCACTTTTCCCAGGCCTTGGGCTACAGCGAGTGGCAGGTTGAGCAGTGATTGTTCTTTCTGTATTTGCATGGTGTGGATTGTGTTGTTTTATTTAATTGTATTGTACACCACCACAATGGAGTTGGGGAGCTTCATTATTTATTTATAATGAAATAAAAATAAAAAATGAATAAGCAGGAGAATTGGGAATTTGAGACCTGGATCAGGGAGACCTAGCGTGGGAAAAAGGAGCCAGCTAGAGAAGGATGGGACGATGGAGGTCAAGCATGCCTATTTCTCTCTTTTCCTTCAGACCTACGACCCCAGCCATGGTTACAATCCTCAGCCAATAGATCTGTCTGGAGTGACCCTTTCCAGGGAACTACAGGTGAGGAACCCAAACTGAGCTTGGGAATCAATGACCTGCCAACTCTTCTCCGGCAAGTAGGGAAGGAAAAATCTGTATTTAGAAGAAATGACCCAGTAAATGGGATGCAGGTCTTGACCATCCTCTCTGGCCAGTTATTTTCACCATAGATACACTTTCTAGGCTTTTCCTTCGGAAGATAAGGGAGGCTTAAAAGTTCCCTTAACTATTTCAGTTGCTATAGCTGAATTTGGCCATGAATGCTAGCAACTTCAAAGGCTCCTTGTATTTTTTTATTTTGGAAAAAAATACCTTAAATTAGGATTTGGTTGCCCCTCCCTATCCACCCAACTGCTGCTGGTTTCTCTCCACAGGCCATGGCGGAGCAGCTGGCTGAGAACTATCACAACACCTGGGGACGCAAGAAGAAATTAGAGCTGGAAAGCAAAGGTGAGACTCTGAGCTCTGAGTTGGCTTTTGAAGGATGCTGATGTTCTCTTTTCTTATTCCCCTGCAGGGAAAAAACTTACCTGCTTTCTCTTCTTCTTCAAGGAGGTGGAACCCACCCCTTGCTGGTGCCTTATGACACGCTGACTGCCAAGGAGAAGGCTCGGGACCGGGAAAAAGCTCAGGAGTTGCTTAAATTCCTACAGCTTAATGGCTATGCTGTAACTCGGTGAGTGTAGAAGGCGCTAAAGGCAGGAGGGGGAACAGTGAAAAGCTGACGTAGGGTGTTCTCCCTGTAAAGCTGTTTAAAATAAATCAATTCTTCTGCTGGTTTGAATGTATAGAGATTAATATTACTGCATATCTCAGACGTTTAAATTTAGAGGACCTTTTAATTTTCTAAGATGATGTTATAATTTATTTTGATGTATTAATGAATCAGTTGTTGTTTTAGTCTGGGTGTGTGCTGCACTTAGTTTTAAGTGCCTAAAAATAAAATGAGTACTGAGCAAGCAAAGGAATGGGGATATATTCCCATGTACTTTGCGCATTTGATAATTCCTGAAAAAGGGCTTCATTGTCTCTCCCTGTAGAGGGAACAGAGAATGGCCTTGAAGGACAGGAGGAAGAGCCGTTACCAAGGCAACGGTCAGATAAGAGGGACTTGAGCCCAGGCCAAGAAAGTAACATGAGCAAACATCTCAGACAAGCCCCTGCCTAGTTAACACAAAGATAAGAAGAGGGAGGGGGAAGCACATTCAGACTTACAAGATTCTGTTACTAGAGCTGTGATGATAAAAGTAATCCTGATCTATATGGCATTCAGGCTGACACTCCTTTTCAAATAGGCAGAGAGGTTGGAGTGGCTGAAATCCTATGGAAAAAGTTCCATTATTTTTCAGAACACAGGGTTTTTTTGAGTTGAGATATTTCATAGTGCTGAAGGGAGGGAACCATGGATATTACCATGGATATTACCAGGCAAAACTTTTCCTCATCGTACTTTATGGGAATCTAGGTAATGTGTTCTTGTATTTATAACACAGCTGGATTTCTCTCTCCCTCCCATATAGTTTTCCTTCCACAAAAATCCAGTAAGGGAAAAGGTTCTACCCAAATCTTTTTAGGTGGTAGTTGTCTGTGTTCCTATGCCTGATAAAACAATTAAGGATCTATAGACAATCTAGTATCTTGTTAACTCTTGGTTTGTTTTAACAGCCCAGCTTCAGACTAATATACAAGCCATCCTTTACATATAACTAAAGCAAAACCAAACCAACTGCCTTTTGGCTTAAAGCAATGTGTGAACTCCATCACTCCCTTGGTTCAGCCAAAGGAAGAACCTCTAGCAATTTCCTGTCCTGCCCTGAGTTTTCTAGCCCTGCGTCTTCTAGAGCCTCAACACAATATTTTCCCACTTCCTGAATCCAAACTCCATCATTTCTCCCAGGGGTTTGAAGGATATGGAATTGGACACTTCATCCATTGAGAAACGCTTCGCCTTTGGATTCCTGCAGCAGCTGCTGAAATGGATGGACATCTCCCAGGAATTCATTGCCCACCTGGGTAAGAGCTGTCTCCTTCCTCTCTAGTGGCTCTCTGTAGCAAGTTGCTGGCGGCTGTACACTAGGCCCCATAGCATTACCCCGTGATTTTCTGGGAGAGGAGGATGGAAAGTGGTAAGATAGAAGAAAGCTTGGAATCCAGAATCCTATCTTCTTGTTTACACTACTGGACAGGGAACAGGGTCTAGTCCAGAAGCAGCCAGTTGAGATATAGTCTCTGAGTTCCTTTCTCCAGCCTGATAGTGGGGAAAGCAGGTAGGAAACCACTGATGGGCTGCTTGGATCCCATTGTCAAATAGGGTTGGAAAGTTTTAGTTCTGCCCTGGGTTTTCTCTTCTCACCTCATCTGTGGTCACACAGTGCCGTTTTTAGTAATCCAAGCAGAGCAACAGGGCAGGGTGAAGTTGTAGAGAACTGCAGAGTTGATCTTGGAAAAGGAATGCAAAGACCATTAGCAAAACATGAATTAAGCCCGGGGAGACAAGACAGTGTGTGAAAGAAACTCAAGATTGCCACATCTTGACTCTCTTTGGTATAAGAGGGAAAGAAGGGGATACGCTGCCTAGATTTCAAAATTCTATTATTATAGCCTACATCAGCTAAGCAGACTTTTAGTATTTTTTGGGGTGTCTATTTCCTAATATACTTTTTTTCTTGCTCCAGAGGCTGTGGTGAGCAGCGGACGAGTAGAGAAGTCCCCACATGAGCAGGAGATCAAGTTCTTTGCCAAGGTAAATCTGTCTTTGTGTTTTTATTTATTTTATTTTACTGTTGGGGCAAGAAGAGGATGGGGAAGGATGCATAGCCTCCAATAAAATAGAAGGATGCATATCCTCCAAGCCGCATCAGCTGCTGAGTGTTTTGCTTTGACTGAAAAAACAGGGCCAAAAAGCAGCTTCTGGAGAAATTCCTTGGAATTCTTCTCCTGCCCCAACCCAAGGACTCTGAGCTCACCAGTCTTTCTCCCATGAATCATTTGCATTCCCTTTTCAGATCCTGCTGCCCCTCATCAACCAGTACTTCACCAACCATTGCCTCTACTTCCTGTCCACCCCAGCCAAGGTCCTTGGCAGTGGAGGCCATGCCTCCAACAAAGAGAAGGAGATGATAACTAGGTGAGTGCCAGAAAACCCCAGCAGCGGCTGGTGGCATCTGTGAATGAGCCTGTAACAGTCAAAAAGATGCTGTGTCTGCCATCTTGCTCTGTTGTATGTCCTCAGCTTCCCAGGAGCAGCCTCTTTCATTCTCTCTTCTGCCTTTCTTTTCCACCCTTCAGCCTTTTCTGCAAACTGGCAGCCCTGGTCAGGCACCGGGTCTCTCTCTTTGGTAAGCCTCACTCTTTCCTCTGCTCCTGCTTTCTGGGACTAGGGAGGGGCTCAGGCCCAACCTGCTCCATCCCCTTCTACTTGTCACTGGTTCAGTGGGGTTAAACCCCACCTGCATCTGCTCTCCATTTTGCATCCTGACTTCCCTGACACTATGCCAGCTTTATTCCCAAACCAACTTTCTGCTGCTCCAGCCACGAGGTCATGTTTCTTCTGCCCAGCCTCCACATCACTTCACACAGGTTCTAAATCAACCTGTTTGATCCTCTTCCTCCAGGTACCGATGCTGCTGCTGTGGTTAACTGCCTCCACATCCTTGCTCGCTCCTTGGATGCCAGGTGAGAAGGCTTCCTCTCTCAAGTATAAGGTCTCAAGTGGAGGGCTATCAAGAGGTGTATCTCATAGACTTTTGTTCCAGGAAGCTCCTTTCGAGTTGGACATCTAGCCCAGTGTTTTTCAAACTCCACAACTTGAAGATGTGTGGACTTCAACTCCCAGAATTCCCTAGCCAGCCAGAGTTGAAGTCCACACATCTTCAAGTTGTGGAGTTTGAAAAACACTGATCTAGCCCATTATTCACACTGCCAGAAGGTGACTTTCCAAGATTCCTAACAGATTTTCCAGCCTTGCTTGAAGATTCAACCCTAGACCTTCTGCAAGTCCTGGAAGCAGAGGAAATGGAAAACTGCCAACACAGAAAAGCTGACGATTGGATCTCAGGGTGTTTTATACACCAAGCAAGTGGTTTGCTGCTTAGAGAAGCCCACTGACAGATACAGAGTCGGATCTAGGCAGGAAACCAAATTCCACCAGAATTCTAGGTGAAGCAAAAGTGAGTTCCAGTTCTATATGTTTCTTACAAAGGTTTCTGAGTTGAGCTGGAAAGCAGTTTAGAATGGAAGAAGATAACGGATCATTCGGCTATCACAAATTAACTCTACAGTATCCTATAGGATTAAACATTTTATTATTTTCAATTCTTACTGTTATATTCAATTGATAAGGCATTTAATCAAAAATGGCTCAAGGTGGCATACAGAAAATTAAAAATATACAGCATAAAAACAACCACATTGGGAAATAGAAAACACAGAAGAAAACATTAAAATGCCATATCATAGAGCTCTCAAATTGCCCTGATCCAAGGCCTGCCTGAAAAGCCAAGTTTTTTAAAGCTTTCCTAAAAGGCAGCAGGGCCAAGGGCCACATGGATCCTGATGCCCCACAACATGACGTTGCTTAGTAGATGGGACCTGGAGCATGCCAACCCTGCTGATTTATTGATTAACCAGTCAGTGAATTAATGACATTTAAATAAAGGTAAATCAGTATAAGTGAAAATACTATTTTGAACGCACACACCCTTCTTTGCATTTAGACAATACACGTGCACATCTTTAGCAGGCATCATTTCAGGCAAGACATTCCTTCCTGCACGGAAGAGAACGCAAAATGCTTCTTGTAAAATAGCTCTTGCTTTCTGCAGTTTGAATATGTATTTGTGTTAATCCTGTTTTATTCTGTTTAATTTGAGTATTATAGGGTCTGATGAATGGGGCACTGTTCTAGCTTAGAAGTTTTCTTTCTTTTAAAAATTTGAATAACAAAACTGGTTCAGTTTTACAGTTCTGATTATGAGCACCTGGCTGCTTTACCCATTAGCATCCAGAAAAATATCTAGGTGCTGTTTTTTTTCCTTCCTACAGGACAGTGATGAAATCAGGCCCTGAAATTGTCAAAGCTGGGCTACGGTCCTTCTTTGAAAGTGCCTCAGATGACATTGAGAAGATGGTGGAGAACCTCAAGCTTGGCAAAGTGTCCCAATCCCGCACTCAAGTCAAGGGCGTGGGGCAGAACATCACCTACACCACCGTGGCCCTGCTGCCTGTCCTCACCTCCCTCTTCGAACACATCGCCCAGCACCAGTTTGGGGACGATGTCATTTGTGAGCATGTCAGGAGAAGGGAGGGTGGGCTGGGCCATAGCCAGGAACAATGTGACAGGCTCTGAATTGAAGCAAGGAGGGTTTGGGAATGCAGCCCATCTATTCCAGGGGTGGTGGAAATGGTCTGGGGGATGCCTCTGAACTCCAAAAGGCTATCCTTTGGGAGAAGGTTTTGGAGGAGCAAAAACATGGAAGCCATCTCCTGATATCAAAGAGTGGGATGGAGAAGTCACATAGCTCCCACTGTTCAACCTCTCCCTCTCTCTTTTGTGTCCCTTCAGTGGATGATGTACAGGTCTCCTGCTACCGAACTCTGTGCAGTATCTACTCATTGGGGACAACCAAAAATCCATACGTGGAGAGGTGAGCACAAGGGCAAGGTTGGGTGCAGCTAGAAGGACATGGGCTGTTTGTAGAGAGATGGGGCCAAATGGAGCACAGAGTGAAAGTAAGTGGAAATGTTGCAGGACATTTGGTCTGGTCTGGTCTGCTCTACTCTGTCCTCTAGCCATGGGATGAGTAGGGCTTTGACACAGAACCAGGATTGAAGAAGTGCCACAAAAGCATTCCTCATGTCCAGCCTTCCCCAAGCTCTTTCTCTCCAGATGAATGGGGCCACTCTCTGGAGTTAGCCTGGAGAAGGACCAGAGCTGTAGGCATTCATAAATCAAAAGCTTTTTGAAGTACAACTGTGGCAACTGCTTTCTGGTTTGGAGAGAGTGATGTTTAGGTATCACTTCAGCACAGCTTCTCCTCCACGGCATGACTTAACAATTTTCCTGCTTTGTGTCTTCTCCCTCTCTGCAGACAGAGGCCACAGCTTGGAGAATGCTTGGCACGGCTGGCAGCAGCGATGCCGGTGGCCTTCCTCGAGCCACATCTGAACGAATACAACCCTTGCTCTGTTTACACCACCAAGTCCCCAAGGGAGCGAGCCAGTGAGTGTCATGGAAGGAAGCAAGAGGGACCACAGCCCTCTTTTGCCTTGAAGTTTCATCCAATTCTCTCATTGGGCTGGGGGCCTAGACCCTTCCCTTTTTTGTCCTGTCTTCTGCCATTCTCTTTCCGTCTTTTTTTTTTTCCCATTGTAAAAGATAGGCCTTTTTACCATGTCCTGATAGAGTTAGAACTTTTCAGTAATGCCTTGCTCACATAAGTATAAACATTGCAATCTCACCTTTTCTTTGCTTTTTTGACAGGTTAACCCTGAGTGGTTGGGCCATCTGGATACATTCCAGTAGAGATGCTGTCTCTGAACTTTGCTCTTCCTCTGTTCCAGATCTCCAGAAATTTAATGTGCTCTTCTTCCATCCCCAGTCTTAGGCCTACCAAACTGTGTGGAGGAGATGTGTCCAGACATCCCAGTCCTGGAGAAGCTGATGAAGGACATCAATGGGCTGGCAGAGTCAGGGGCTCGCTATACCGAAATGCCCCACGTAATTGAGGTCACCTTGCCAATGCTTTGCAACTACTTGCCCCGTTGGTGGGAGCGGGGTCTGGAGACCAATGCTCAGGGGCCCTGGTGCACCGAAGTGACTTCTGACCACCTCAACACCTTGCTAGGAAACATCCTGAAGATCATTGTCAACAACCTGGGCATAGACGAAGCTTCTTGGATGAAGCGGTTGGCTGGTATGAAGGGGGCATGGATGGTGGGATTGAGGAGCTTCTTTCTTTAAATGTGGAATCAAATTTTGCTCTAGAGGAATATTAGAGGAAAAGCAGAGTAAGATATAAAGCTAAGCAAAGATCATAAGGACCCCAAGTTGCCTTCGCACATTGTGCTAAGCCCTGAACTGTAGTGGCCACGTTTGCAAAACACACTAGGCCAAAGCAAAGCAAATCACACAATAGCTTCAGAAGATGCCTGAATGCTGAACAGAAAATAGAACTCTGACAACCAAGGGAGATTTCCCTAGTTTGCCGTTCTGCTGTGACGGCCCTTAGTTGCTACTCAACATGATCGTGTTCAGCTGCTACTTCTCAGGCCCTATCAGATGGGGATTCCAATCCAATAAGGGATCATGATGAGTCTTCTGTTGGTTGGATGATACCATGGTTAACACCTTGCAAGTGATGTCTGTTCCCATTTCCTTTCTTGTAATGGTGGCGAAATCCTCACTTCCCACTGCTAGGAAGATGTCAGTCTGCATTCACTTGCTTCCTGATTTCTTTCTGAATTATTTTTCATTGCCATAGAAATGAAAGCCAGAAATAGTGGGTATCAATTACAGCTACCTAGATTTTCTTTAAATATAAAGAAAAATTTCCTGAGGGTAGGATCTGTACAATAGTGAAACACTCTACCTATGGAAGTTGTGGGTTCTTCATCTCTGGAGGCCTTTAAGAAGAGGTTGGATGGATACTCTTGCGGGTGGTTTAACTGTTTTCTTGCATTTTGCTGAGGGTTGGACTAGGTGATCCTTGAGTCTCTTCCAAATCCATAATTCTGGGATTTGTTGATATGCAATGCATCCTCAGATTACATATGCTATAAATACGTAAAGGCACACATATGCCTTTAATCTTCAAGTGCAGATCAAGGTTGGGGAGTAGTTTCAAAGTACAAGTAACCAGCTAGAGGTACAGGAGTTCCCAAGTCCTCTTGAATTGTTGGAGGGACTCTAAGTTAGTAATGGAGAAAGGTCGCCTGTCCAAGACTGAGGAAGCTCTTCCCTCACAGTCTTTGCTCAGCCCATTGTCAGCAAGGCAAAGCCTGAACTCCTGCGTTCCCATTTCATCCCAACCATGGAGAAACTGAAGAAGCGAGCTGGGAAAGTGGTTGCTGAGGAGGAACAGCTGCGGTTGGAGGCCAAGACAGAATCGGAGGACACAGAGCTCCTAATCCGGGATGAGTTTTCAGTGCTGTGTCGAGACCTCTACGCCCTGTATCCATTGCTGATCCGCTATGTGGACAACAGCAGGTAATCCAGATTTTGCAAAGAAAAGGCATGTGTGCACGTATGTGCAGATTGTAACTTGCGACACAATGATAGCAAGCCTTCAAGGTGAGTGAAGTTAAGAAGCGCACCACAGGGATTTCAGGAATGCTGCTTTATTGTTATAGGGTAGAGTAACAGAATCTTGAAAACCTGTTTGAGTATCTCTCTGTCCCCTTTTATACTAAACAAAATCAAGGCAGGAGTGTTTTGTAGAGATGGAAAGAGAAAAAGAGGGGTGCATCAAAAGAAGGTCTAATATCCCATTTTCCCAAGGCACATAATATTGTGGGTTGTCAGTGCTGAGTTTCCGTGGAGGAGATCACATGAACTCTGGAATGCGGAAGAAGGCACTCACCAATCATTCCTTTTGGATCTGCAGGGCCCACTGGTTGACAGAGCCCAACTCAGATGCTGAGGAGCTGTTCCGGATGATTGGGGAAGTGTTCATTTACTGGTCCAAGTCACACGTGAGTGAGCTTTGGGGCAGGAGAGTGGCAGGCTTCTGGGTTCTGTCAAGAAGGAAGCAGTCTGGTGGGGAGGAAGGTTCATGGCACTGGAGGAGGATGAACCTTTTGGATCACGTTGACTGCATCTTAACATCTTCACCCAAGATGCATTGGGGGGGGGCAGGGGAATTGAATAGCAAACCACCAGTGTATCTTCCTCCATGGTGTAGTCTTCCATAGGGTTCCCAATAGGACAGTTTTTTTAAGACTGAATGTGATCTCCAGAATTTTTATTCTACATAGAACCTTCAAATAGCATTCCACTATTTGCTTGTGCAAATCAGTACATCTGAGATGCTTTCAGTTATGTTATGAATCATGAAACTGCAGAACCTCATTCAAGACATTTTATAAGGACATTGGGCCCAGGTGTTGTCACTTTCCATTTTTAATTCTCTTCTCTGTTCCTGGCATCACTTCCATGTTTTCTTTCCACTGAAAATGCATTGAGAAGAAAAGACAAAAAGCTGACCATTGTCTTTTGACTACTAAGAGCTATCCATCTAGAACAGTGTTTCTCAACCTCGGGAACTTTAAGATGTGTGGACTTCAACTCCCAGATGTCCACACATCTTAAAAGTTGCATGGTGGCTGGGAAATTCTGGGAGTTGAAGCCCACACATCTTAAAGTTCCTGAGATTGAGAAACCCTGATCTAGAAGTATTCTTGGTTTAGCTGAAAGACCGCTGCACCAGATATGTTAGGTTGAACTCTCCTGAAGAAATCTTCCATCTGATTCTTTTTCTTCCTGCAGAACTTTAAGCGAGAAGAGCAGAACTTTGTTGTTCAGAATGAAATCAACAACATGTCCTTCCTGACAGCTGACAGCAAAAGCAAAATGTCCAAGGTGAGGGGGCTCCTGTTTGAGCTGGGGAGAAGATAGTGGGTGTATCCTCCCTGGTGGCTCTTCCCATCCTTTGAAGCTGTGATACCATCTCAGGAGGGAAAGAATCTTTGACCCAACAGCTGCTAAGCTTCAGATGGACAAGAAGTATCCGAGGGCTGCAGGAATCCACGTCTCAGGGCAGCTGTAAACTTACTAAGTGGCCTTGGCTTAGCTACTCATTTTCTAAACATTTAACATGCAGGTGTAACCATACTGGTCTTTTCTGATGTGGATTACTCTGCTAAGGGCGTGAAGTGATTTGAGTGAAAGAGTACAGTGAAACCTCATTTTAATGCCCCAGCTGGTGAGAAAAGGTGTCTGTTATTCAGGAATCTCTACTCAACTGGAGTGTACCCCAACTGTGGGGATTTACGCCATTTGTGTGACGGCGGTGTCATCGCGCAAATGGCCTGAAGTACGTCAGTTACATCCATTGGCATCAGGGTATCATTTATTACAGTTTACAAAAATAATGACAATGTATGCCAACGATGTCAGGGGATGCAAATGGTGTGATTGAGGCCATCTGCAACATGCAAATGGGGTAAATCACAATGGAAATTAGGTCTGCGGTATGCAAAGCCCACTGCATTCAGGTCCAGTAAAATGAGGTTACGCTGCACAGCCCTTTTCCTTTCCTTGCGTGATGCTATACCTGTTTTGGATGTAGCCACTGCAGAGGCCAAATGCTCTCTTTCCCAATTTCCCTCCTTTTATTTATTTATTTAAAATCATTGTGTGCTGCCATCTCCTAGGGCTCTAGGTGGCTCACGATCAAAGAAACACCATAAAACTCTTCCTGATCAGTGTTACTGGCCATACATTTTGTCTTGAGTCCACCTGGCTGGGAAGAGTTCAACCTGCTTTTTTGACCCCATCTGCTCTGTTCCTTTCTTCCCTGATCATCCCTGCCTCACCACATGTGTGTACAATTCCCTGTTGATCCTTTTGCAGCATCCTGAAAACTGTCCTGAAAACTTGTCCTGGTGGAGAACGGGAGATTTGAAGAAGCAAAGGGTGGTGTAGTGTGATGGAATGGAATTCTGAAGGCCAGGCCCAGGGAGATAAGCGTTTTCTTAGTTCACCAAAAGAGCATGGGAGCTACAAGAGGATGAGGCTGGCACCTCCCTGAGGAATTCACGGTGTTGTGGCTCTGCTGGGTTTGGTGGTTGGGGTTTAGTCTTGGGGGATT